ATCCGTACGTAATTTGTAACTATCATGTAATATAAGGCAAATGCTTTATACGTCCTTCCAATTTGTCAACAAGGTTATGTAAATGTTTGTTTAAAATATTTGTATTCATTCACTCATGTAGTGAGTAAGTTAGTTATAGACTTACTCAGTTAGTCAGTTAATTATAATAGCACCAGCAGCAGACGTGAATCAAAATAAATTCATTTACCGAAAAATATCAAATGAATTTTACCATTGTTTACCATCGTTACTAAACAAGAAGCAGCAAACGATCAGGGAGCTTCACTGGAATCATCTAGTCACCACCACCACCATCATTACCACCAACATCATCACTACAATACAACATACTGCACGCACAACAACATTAACAACTGTCAGTATGTGCAGGTGGGGAATGGGAACATCATGGAGAGAGTTCCCGAGTACCTGTCTGAGCCGCCGAGTGATGTTGAACACTAGGACCTCGATACCGATCTTAGGTGACGAATTTGAAAAAAAAAAAAACAGGGACAATATGAAAAATGACTTGGGTTGAAACTCAATTGCTGCTGATGATGAGGAGAAATTACGGACAAAATTTGATGAATAAAAAGTTCACAGCCCCCCACGTAAGGTTTCTAATAGCAAGGTAGTGGAAGGGGTCGGGACGAAATATGTGAAAATTAGATCAAGACGACCCATACACAAACTCATCTTAGTTTTTCATGTTAGGTTTATAAATGTACCCCGCAGTGGTGCTATTTCATCTCATCCACCCACCCTCAAACACACTGTCAAACATTGTACACGTATCTCAGGTGTGGAGATCATGTGACATTATGAAGAAAGCTCAGTTTTAAGGTAATCCAATGTGTAACTCAATCCCAGGAGTTGTACATGAATGTATCACCCTTTGCTCATCTAAAAGTTACTCATGGCAGTCGCTCTGGCTGTCACAGGTTAGGGTTAGCGTCATAGGCGTCCCTAGAAAATTTCCAGTCATTGAAGGGAGGATAATGATTGACTGGGTACCAGCAATAAAAATACAGTTCCAAATTTCCAGAGGGGGGGGGGGTCCCCATTGACACCCCCCCCA